CTGTGGGATGCTGCATCTGCCCTAGCACTGCAGCATTCAGAGCCCCCGCTACCTAGAGGTATGTAGAAACAAAATTTTAAACTGTATCTACGTCCACATCACCAAATCTATCCGAATCTCTCCAAATTGATTCAGAGGGTTCCAAATTGGTTTGGAGAGATTAAAGGGTCCTCTGATTCAATTTGGATTCAGAGATTTGGCCACTGAATTGGGCCAAATCTCCGCCAAATTGAATCAGGGCCCAAAGCTTCACAAAGCCCTACTCCAAAGCACAAACAGGATGTTGTAAATTAGAAAAAAATTGTGTACCTGCTGGGAGGGAATAAATCATCTGCTTTATGCACAGAGTATATGAAGTGGGGAACCAGAGAAGGTTTAGAGGTTAATGGTGATGAAGACCCACACATTTTATAGCATATTTGTTCTTTACCTAGCAGCCAGGTATAGGCCTGTGAAACTGGGAGTATTTTAGTAATTTCCTCTCCCTTCTCCCCCAAAGAAAAAGTTAGAAATAGTTTAGTAGCACACATACTAAATGGACTAAATTATTTCCCAGTGTAATTCCATAGACTTCAGGGAAGTTACACCAGCGATGAACTTGCCCCAGTACATTTTTGATTGCAGAGTAAGGTAAATATAGGTCAAATCTCCATGCAATATTTATAAATTTAAAAAGTCTCTCTCCTTTTTCCCCTCCATCTACTATTCTTCTTAATATTTTACAAGAAAGTCTTCCCTTGATAATAACTTATGGCCTTTCAGATTATGTAGGTACCTTCCTCCATCAGTATCAAACACAGCCTTTGAAATCAGTTAGTTCACATTTTTAGAGAACTTTGCCAATACCTTCAGCTGAGAAATATAAAGTTCATCATGCTTAAATGTTGTTGGACAATCTGTGCTCCTTTTAACTAAATTGGTACCCCCGCATTAGTTACCCTCTAAGGAATTTCCATACTTGTCTAGTTTTAAAGCCAATTATTGGGAAATTATACATTACCAATACAAAAGTTTACACAGTCTCCCTTCCCTTTTGGATGCAGTAGGCACATCTATTCATGCAATTAGCATAGCTGAATAGACTCCAGCACAGTTCATATGGCAATTTATTGCTCCTGGAGGTCATGTTTACACGTGCATCTGGGATTGTAGCATATCGAGCTGAGTTGGAGCACCCCAGTTGGCAGAGGGCCTGGGGTCAACCCGCTAGCCCAGGGCTGCTCCAACCTTGCTCAGCGTGCTGCAGAGGGGCTGGTTGGGGCATGAGCGTGCTCTAGTGTGGGGCTAGCTGGCAGACAGCCCCTGCACTGAAGCACACTTATGCCCTAGCCAGCCGTGTCATGTCTACACCAGGGGTCAGCATGCCACAGCATGTGGTACATGAGGCCATTTTGCTTGGGGCACCACAGCTGGCCTGGGCTCTAGGCAGCTTCCACCATCCATGGAGCCCAGGCTGGTCGCAGCAGGGAGGCTGTGAGCTCCAGTGCAAGCAGCCTCCATGGCAGGCAGCAGCTGCCCGGAGCCTGGGCTAAGAGGCTGTTATGGATGCACTGGGATGCCCCAGCCCCACTCTGTGACCAGTGGTGGCTGGACACATGCCTCAGGGTGCACAGTGGAGAAGGGACCTAGGACAGCGCAACCGCAGCCCCTTCCCTGCCATGCTTCTGGAGGCACATGTGCAGCTGCTGCCAGCAACAAGCCAGGCCAGGTTTCTGGACCCTGGTGCAGCTGCTTGCAGGCATGAAGCTGCCTGCTGTGACAGCCTGGGCCATGGTGGGTGGCAGGGGCCTGCCCAGAGCCGAGGCTGCTTGCAGTAGGCAGCTGTGAGGCTGCAAGCAGCTTCGCTGGGGTCTGGAGCCCTGGCCTGGCTCATTGCAGGCAGTGGCTGTACACATGCCTCGAGGAGTATGGTGGGGAAAAGGTCCAGGGCTGCATTGCCACAGTAAGGACCAGGCCCCTTGTAGCTCTCCTGCCATCCACCCCTGGCACACCAACATCTTCCGA